TTTTTTTTAAATATATGATTCAAAATTAGCATGTATAGTTTTTTTTGTTGATTAGTAATTTATAAATATAATTGTAATTACAATCAAAACTAATTAATTAAATATATTTATAGTTTAAATTAATTTAATTATTGATTTTTTTTGTGGATCATATTATTACAACTACAGTTAAGTAACTATTTTTATAAGTTTCAAATAAATTATTTTAATATTAATAATAATAATAATAATAATAATAGTTATAATCTTATAAAAGTTTTTTAATGCATATTTTTTTAAAATGTAAAATAAACTAGATTATTTAGATTATTAATTTTATTTATAATATAATATATTTCATTATAATATAAAAGTAACAAATATTATACATGAAATATATTTATTTATTTTTATTAGATTTTTTTTAAAAAATTATTTTTATTTTTCATATAACTTTGTATTGTATTACTATCTTTACATAAGTAACTATCATATTATCATTAATAATATATTTACTGTAATGTAATGCTAAATAAATATATAGATAAGAAAAAGGCTGCACTTTGATATTTGGGCCGCGCCGGAGGCGGGGGTGGGTGGTATAGGTAGATAGTACTTGATGTCTAGTATACATATGTAAAATATAGGACATCGCAAACTAAAGGTTCAAAAGTTATAAACTTAAAAAATTATTTTTATTGCAAGACTTATTATTTTTTGAACCTAACTTAACCTAACCTAACATAACCTAACCTAACCTAACCTAACCTAACCTAACCTAACCTAACCTAACTAACCTAACCTAACCTAACCTAACCTAACCTAACCTAACCTAACCTAACCTAACCTAACCTAACCTAACCTAACCTAACCTAACCTAACCTAACCTAACCTAACCTAACCTACCCTAAACTAAAATAACTAGCGGCCTACCGGCCACCATTAATCTAACTTAACCTAACCTAAACTAAACTTAAATAAATCGAACTTAATTTAATATAAAGTAACCTAACAAATTTTTTTTATTTAATAACTCAAATTACAATTTATTTTATACATAGTATTTTATATACGTTATTTTATATACACTAGCCTACTGAGGCTCTACAAAGAAAATATACTAAATTACTGCTATTTATATTTACTATATATTGAATTTTTTAATTAAAATGTTCATAACTCCTTAACCTTTTGTTTGCGATATCTTATATTTTATATATGTATAGTAGACCTCAAGCACTACCTACCTATAGCCCCCACCCGCGCCTTCGGCGCGGCCCAAATATCAAAGTCCTGCCAAGAAAAATATTAATATATATATATACAGTTATATGTAGTTATAATAAAATTAATATTACATTTTTACCTTACATTATATTTTGTATTTTAACAATTTTAATTTGAATAATTGAATTTATTGTATAATATAATCAACATATACAGTATAAGTAATTTACAGTATACTAAAAATTATTTTTCGTTTTTATATTGTATAATAAAAATAATTTTCAATTAAAAAAGTTATTAATATAGTTATTAAAATTAATAATTATTTTATTTATTGTTTAGCTTATATATATATAATCACCAGTTTATGTATTGTTAACAATTAAGTCATAATGTATTTAAACTAAACTTATTATGTTTAATAGTTTATTGTTAATTAAAAATAATTATATTGATAATTTATTAATCATAATTAATTTATTTTAATACAGTATATACTAATCAATATGACTTTGAGTTAATATTATATATACAGTATATATATATATATATATATATTTCAAATAGTTTTCAAATAGTCATTCAATAAGTTATTAAAGTTAATAACTAATAAGTTATATATAAAATCATAGTTTAAATTGATTAACATTTTAATGTTATATTTTTTTTAATAATAAATAAAATCATATCAACATTTTAAACATGTATAACTTATATTATGTACTATATTTAAATATTAAAATTTAAAAAATAAATCATTTTATAAAAAGTAAGTTTTGTATATAAATAATTTATATATAAAACTAAATGTTATTTTTTTTGTTTATTAATGTTGTTAATAATGTATTATAATATTTATAAGCTTAAATAGTAAGTATCATAATATATATTTTTTAAATATTTAATTTAAGTAATTATATAATATATAAAACATTATTTGTACAAAAAAAACTTTTTTTGTTAATTAACTTTTTTTTAAAAAAATTTAATTACAGTATTTTTTTAAAATTTACAAAAAATAAACTAAATTATTTATACTATTAGTATAGCTTTTAATATACTGTATAACATATAATACTAAGTTATATATATATAATAAAATTTATATATATATATATGTATTTATTTTAATAGATTTTTAAAAAATTATTAGTTTAAAAAGTTTCATATTACTTGTAATTTAAAATTAAAATTATATTATATATATATTTTACGTAAATAGGCTATCATATTATATTTACTATATTTACTGGTAATATAATTAAATTTAAATAAAAATTTATTAGTTTATAAAGTTAATAAAAAAATATACAGTATATTTAAAAGATTATTTTTCAATAAAAACTAATAATGATCTCAAATATTTTGTAACAATTTATTTTTATTTTTTTTTTTGGTTAAAAATATAATAATATAGTGTATATAATATAATCAAACATTTTATTTATTTGTTTATTATTTTATTTGTTGTAAAAAAATGATATCATATTTCTAATTAAATTTATGATAAATAAATATGTATATTAAATTTTGATAATTAAAAAAAAATAAATAAATATTATTATTCAAACTTAACATCAAATATATATTAGATTTTATAATTTAAAAACTACTATACTTTATGTATTTAAAACTGATATTTTCACAAATTAATAAAAATAGTAAATTTAACACAAAAATATTTTTTTTTTTAAATATAGACAATTAATATAATTTACCAATGTGTTAATTATATAAAAAAAAATAATTAAATTTTAAAACTAAAAAATAATTTACATTATAATATAGGAGTAGTAGATATAAAGCAATTAAATACAAATAAACAAATTTTTATTTAATTACTTTATAAGTAAAATTCAATTTTGATTTTAAACTATTTATATTTACAAAAATTAATTTTGATTGAAATTAATTGCTAATTAGTTTTGTTTAAACAATTGGTTTTGTTTTTATTATGTTTTAAATACAGTATATATTTTTGTCATTTAAATAAATAACACCAAATAAAACCAGTTGAGAAAGCCATAAAGCATTGCCAGTTAACAAACTTTGACGCCATAAAATTTTCTGTCTGCAACTTAATATAAATTTATAATTAAAAACCAGTTGAGAATAATAGAAAGCATTATCCAAAATCAAATTTTTATTGAGTA